GAAAAAACAAAGCAAAAAATGCAAGAATTGGAAGAAGAAACATAACAAAAAAGGCAGGAAATGGAAGAAGAAACAAAGCAAAAAATGCGAGAAATGGAACAAAAACCAAACCAAAAAATGCAAGCCCCACACAGTTATAGTGGGAGATTTCAACACACCACTCTCACCACTAGACAGGAATACCAGACAGAAACTCAACAAAGAAGGAAAGGGTCTAATAGAAGTAATGACCCAACTGGGATTAACAGATATCTATAGAACATTTCATCCACATAAAAAAGAATATACCTTCTTCTCACCACCACATGGAACCTTCTCAAAAATCGACCACATACTTGGCAACATATCAAACCTCAGCAGCTACAAAAAAATTGGAATAACTCCATGCATCTTATCAGACCACCATGCTTTAAAATTAGAATTCAACAACAACACAAATTGCAGAAAACCTACAAACTCATGGAAATTGAATAATGCTCAACTGCACCATCCCTGGGTCAAAGAGGAAATAAAAAAAGAAATTAAAGACTTCCTCGAATTCAATGAGAATGAAGACACAACATACCCAAACCTATGGGACACTTTGAAAGCAGTGCTACGGGGGAAGTTCATAGCACTAAGTGCTCACATGAAGAAACAGGAGAACAGTTATACCAGAGAATTAACATCACAGCTGTAAGCTCTAGAACACAAAGAAGCAAACTCCCCCAGGAGGAGTAGATGCCAGGAAATGATCAAATTGAGGGCTGAAATCAATAAAGTAGAAACCAGGAAAACAATACAATGAATCAATGCAACGAAGAGTTGGTTCTTTGAGAAAATCAACAAGATACACAAACCTTTGTCCAAACTTACCAAACAGCAGAGAGTGAACACGCAAATTAACAAAATCAGAAATGAAAAGGGGGACATAACAACAGACTCTGAGGAAATCCAGAGAATCATTAGGTCATACATTGAAAACCTGTACTCCACAAAATTTGAAAATTTAAAGGAAATGGATGACTTCCTGGACAGCTATCATTTGCCAAAACTAAATCAAGAACAGATAAGCAATTTAAATAGACCTATAACCCCTATGGAAATACAAGCAGTCATCAAAAGTCTCCCAACCAAAAAAAGGCCAGGGCCAGATAGCCTCAGTGCAGAATTCTACCAGAAATTCAAAGAACAGCTTATACCAATTCTTCTCAAAGTGTTCCACACAATAGAAGCAGAAGGGTCTTTGCCAAACCCTTTCTATGAGGCTTCAATAACCTTGATCCCCAAGCCATACAAAGATACAACTAAGAAAGAGAACTTCAGACCAATATCCCTCATGAACATTGATGCAAAAATACTCAATAAAATACTGGCAAATCGGATCCAAGAACACATCAAAACAATCATTCACCACGATCAAGTAGGCTTCATCCCAGGGATGCAGGGATGGTTCAACATACGAAAATCCATCAACGTAATCCACCATATAAACAAGCTGAAAAACAAAAATCACATGATCATCTCACTAGACGCTGAAAAGGCCTTTAACAAAGGTCTTGGAGAGATCTGGGATGACAGGGACATACTTAAACATAATAAAAGCTATATACAGTAAACCAACAGCCAACATCAAACTAAATGGACAGAAACTCAACGCAATTCCTCTAAAATCAGGAACAAAACAAGGCTGTCCACTCTCTCCATACCTTTTCAACATGGTACTTGAAGTTCTAGCTATTGCCATACGACAACAAAGGGGGATCAAGGGGATACAAATTGGGAAGGAAGAGGTCAAACTTTCACTGTTTGCAGATGATATGATAGTTTACGTCAATGACCCAAAGAACTCTACCAGGGAACTCTTACAGCTGATTAACACCTTCAGCAAAGTGGCAGGCTACAAGATCAACTCAAGAAAATCAGTAGCCCTACTATATACAGATGATTAAAGGGCTGAAAGAGAAATCAGAGAAACATCACCCTTTACAATTGCCACAAACAACATAAAATACCTTGGGGTAACGCTAACCAAACAAGTGAAAGACCTGTATCGTAAAAACTTTGAATCTTTAAAGAAAGAAATTAAAGAAGCCCTCAGAAAATGGAAAGATCTCCCATGCTCTTGGATAGGTAGGATCAATGTAGTAAAAATGGCAATCCTGCCAAAAGCAATCTACAGATTCAATGCAATCCCCATTAAAATCCCAGCACAATTCTTCACAGACCTTGAAAGAACAATAATCAATTTTGTATGGAAAAACAAAAGACCCAGGATAGCCAAAACAACCCTGTTCAACAAGGCAACGACCGGAGGCATCACCATCCCTGACCTCAAGCTCTATTACAGAGCTATAGTCCTGAAAACAGCTTGGTGTTGGCACAAAAATAGACAGGTGGACCAATGGAATCGAATTGAAAACCCGGGTATTAACCCACACACGTACGAACATCTGATCTTTGACAAAGAAGCTAAAAATATACAATGGAATAAAGAAACCATCTTCAACAAATGGTGCTGGCATAATTGGAGACTGGCATGTAGAAGAATGCGGATCGATCCATGTTTATCGCCATGCACAAAACTTAAGTCCAAATGGATCAAAGACCTCAACATAAATCCAGCCACACTGAACCTCTTAGAAGAGAAAGTGGGTGGTACCCTTGAACGAATTGGTACAGGAGACAGCTTCCTGAACATAACACCAGTAGCACAGACAGTGATCAACAATTAATAAATGGGACCTACTGAAACTGAGAAGCTTCTGTAAGGCAAAGGACACAGTCAGCAAGACAAAAAGGCAGCCCACAGAATGGGAAAAAATATTCACTAATCCCACATCTGACAGAGGGTTGATCTCCAAAATTTACAAAGAACTCAAGAAGCAAGTCTCCAAAACACCAAAGGACCCTATTAAAAAGTGGGCTGCAGAACTAAATAGAGAGTTTTCAATAGAGGAGTCTAAAATGGCTGAGAGGCACTTGAGAAAGTGCTCAACATCCTTAGCCATCCGGGAAATGCAAATCAAAACAACTCTGAGATACCATCTCACTCCTGTCAGAATGGCTAAAATCAAAAACACCAATGACAATTTATGCTGGAGAGGATGTGGTGAAAGGGGGACACTCCTCCATTGCTGGTGGGAGTGCCAACTGGTTCAGCCACTTTGGAAATCAGTATGGAGATTCCTCAGAAAAATGGGAATAAACCTACCACAAGACCCAGCAACTCCACTCTTAGGCATATATCCAAAAGATGCCCATTCATACAACAAAGATGTCTGTTCCACTATGTTCATAGCAGCTTTATTTGTAATAGCCAGAACTTGGAAGCAACCTAGATGTCCCTCACCCAAAGAGTGGATAGAGAAAATGTGGTACATCTACACAATGAAGTACTATTCAGCAGAAAAAAATAATGAAATCATGAGATTCGCAGGCAAATGGATGACACTAGAAGAAACCATCCTGAGTGAGGTAACCCAGTCACAAAAAGAGAAACATGGCATGTACTCTGTCCTATATGGATTTTAGACATAGATCTGGGGAGCGCCAGCCTACAACCCTGTGGCCAGAGAGTCTGGGAAACAGAAACTTCATTTAGTGGCTGATCGAAGAAGAGGCAGACTCCCTTGGTTAAGTACTGAGCTGAACTCAAGAAAGCCAGTAACAGAGAGGGAGGACTGATGATCAAAGGGATTAAGACTGGGCTGGTTTAACCCCCAGAAACAGCTGACCAGACAGAGGTTAACTCTTGAATCCCAGGCATCAGCCTGGGAAGCCAGCATGGGACTGATCAAGACCCCCAGAATCTGGGTGTCAGTGAGGAGGCCTAGGGAATCTATTGAGCCTTGGGCAGCAGATCAGTACCCATCCCAAGTATACACACGGACTTTGGACTCCCATAGAACAATGTGAGGTGCACTCTCACCCTGAACTCTTGGGGAAGGGTCTAGGCCCTGCCCTATATGAAACGACAGACTATGGACACCCCCATGGAGGGCCTCACCCTCCCTGGGGGAATGAGAGAATAACGGGGGGGGAATGGGGGGAGGTCACAGGAGGAGGGGAGGGAATGGGAGAGGGACCTGGAACTGACTTGTGAAGCAACCTAGTTTCTTATCTAAATTTATTTTTTTTTACAGGTTCATCTTTTTATTGGATATGTTAACAGGATATCTGAATTTAAACTGGAAAAACAAACCACTATGTTTCTACATAAAGAAATAAAGCCACACTACAATTCCTAACAGAGTAGTCTCAGATCTGAACTGCTGTGTTTCAGGCAGTGTTTGCTGGTGACGCACAGTGCAGCAATTAAGTGCAATTCAAGCTGTGCATGACCTTGTTCAGAACCAAGGCTGCAGTGAAGATACAAGACGTGCCATGAACAAGCACTTCCAGGAACATCTTAAGATTCATGATGCTGTGAGAGTTAATTCTTCCTCATGCACTCAGGCATGTCTCCGTGGATGGCTGCCACTGTTGGCTGAGGAGTGGAGGTGCAGGGTGGTAGCTTCTCGCCTCCTGGTGGAGCTGGTGAGGAGATGAACTGAGTCAAGGCCAGGGGTGTGCATATGTTGTTCAAGGTGTAAAGCCACCATAGACGCAGCAGAGAACCTGCTTCCTCGGCTCTTTCTTGGCCTTTTGGCTGTGTGGTCCTTCAGCTTCACCGGTAGAAGATAAGAATCTTGTGGTACAAGCCTGTAATCCCAGCTGCTCTGGAGGCTAGGGTGTGTGGTCAAGGCCAGCCTAGGCAACTTAGACTTCATCTAAGAAAAAGTTAAAGAGGGCTGGTGATGTACTACAGATTGTTGAGTGTTTGTCAAGCATGCAGGAGGTTCTAGATTCCATCCCTGATAACACAACAACACAACAACAACAAAGCTAACCCCCTTTATTTCAACCACAAGTGCTACCCTCCCATTCTGCCATTCTTCTGAGAAAGTCATCTCATAATATTGGCTAGACCAATGTCAATAAAGGTAATTTACAGTTGAAAAAAAAAGCTATTTCTCACAGTGATTTGCTATGAGTTTATTATTGATGGTGTATTACAAGAAAACAGAGTCAGATACATTTGGTTTCCTGATATCTTTTATGAAATGATTTTGTGTTTTGAATGATTTTGTTGCTCAAGAGTGTATAGAGCAATATATTTTTATTTCTCGATGATTTGGTCCTTATGATCAATTCCTGAATATGTGTCTATAGAGTACCATGTAATAGGCATAGCTAAATAGATAACAATGTGGATACAGAATGGAAACAGACTCCATCACAAAGTATCTATCCAGCTCTAAGTTCTGCTATCCACACTCAAGGCCAACAATACCTATGTGGTCGATGCTGGTTGGGAACTCACTATGTAACCCATACTGCATGGAACGTGCAGAGATCCACCTATACATGTGGGCTGTGGGGATATAGGAGTGTGACACCAGACCTGAAGAAAGACCTGCGGTTATCTGTGAACAGTTGCAAATTGCTTTATTATTCATAAAAACAATGTTTTCAAAACGGGCTTTAAAATGGTAGTCAATACCAACAGGGAATAGCCTTAACAAATTATGAAAAACAATAAGAACAAAAAAACACCAAAATAGCAAAACTATAACAAAACAACCAAAAGCAAAAATGTAAACCAAAAAGCAAAGGAAAACTGAGATAAACAGCATTCTCTTGCCACATTTTGAAAGGTACAGATATACAGCCTGGAGTTGGCCTTGCAAAGAAGACATCAATTTTAACAGGTTTTTCAGGATGAGTGTAGGATTCCTCTCTTGCATCTGAGGAGTTCAGTACTTGCTGGTGATTAGGCTCAGCAGGAGGCTCTTGCTGTAACAGATCCTTCTGCAAGTGGCTCTCATCCTGGGCAGTGTCCTGTTCCAGCTGAGATTGCAGTTCAGTGGACCTGGGAAAGGAAAGCAGTTAAAACACAGGCGAGCCAGCTTCAGGTGAGATTGGGTCTCCGGCTGGGACCACCCGCCCATCACCCATCCCCCTCCATCTTCGGGGCCGCTCCCGGCTTCCAGAAGAGCCGCCCACACAGGAAAGAGATTAGCCCCTCCAAGACCCCAAGCCAGCGAGCCCAGCTTCAGGTGAGATTGGGTCTCCGGCTGGGACCACCCGCCCATCACCCATCCCCCTCCATCTTCGGGGCCGCTCCCGGCTTCCAGAAGAGCCGCCCACACAGGAAAGAGATCAGCCCCTCCAAGACCCCAACCCCAGCGAGGCCAGCTTCAGCTTCAGCTGCAGTAAGGAAGGAGACCAGTGGAGACAGAAAGACCCCACCAGCACCCACTGGAAGAAGAGATGGGAAGAAGACAGAATAAGAGATCACTCAGCAATAGAAACACCAACACGACCCCACCAGAATCCAGGGATCCAACACCAGCAAGACCTGAAAAGCACTACATAGATGAAGAAGAGGAGACAGACCTTAAAAATTATTTCATGAAGATGATGGAGAGCCTCAAAGAAGAAACGAGGAAATCCCTTAAAGAAATAGAAGAAAAAACAAACAAAAAAATCCATGAAATGGGGGAAAATTTTCAAGAAATAAACAAATCTCTCAAAGAATCTAAAGAGCACCAAGAAAAAACAACCAAGAAAATTAAGGAAACAGCTCAAACAGTTGAAGGATTGAAACCTGAAATAGAAACGATAAAGAAAACACAGAATGAAGGGATGCTGGAAATAGAAAAGCTCGGTAAACGGTCTGGAATTACAGATGCAAGTATCACCAATAGAATACAAGAGATAGAAGAGAGAATCTCAGGTGTTGAAGACTCATTAGAGGATATAGAGTCGTCAACCAAAGAAAATCTCAAAACCAACAAATCCTTAACACAAAATATCCAGGAAATATGGGACACCGTGAAGAAGCCAAAGCTGAGAATAATAGGTATAGAAGAAGGTGAAGAACTTCAACTTAAAGGTACAGAAAACATATTCAACAAAATCATAGACGAAAACTTCCCTAACCTAAAGAAAGATATGCCTATGAAAGTACAAGAATCTTACAGAACACCAAATAGGCTTGACCAGAAAAAGAAGTCACCTCGCCATATAATAATCAAAACATCAAACCTACAGAGCAAAGAGAAAATATTAAGAGCAGCTAAAGAAAAAGGCCAAGTAACATATAAAGGCAGACCTATCCGAATTACACCTGACTTCTCAATGGAAACGATGAAAGCCAGAAGATCCTGGTCAGATGTCCTACAAACGCTAAGGGAACAAGGATGCCAGCCCAGACTACTGTATCCAGCAAAGCTCTCAATTACCATAGATGGAGAAAACAAAATATTCCATGACAAAGCCAGATTTAAACAATACGTATCCATGAATCCAGCTCTACAGAAAATGCTAGAAGGAAAACCTAGAGCCAAGGAAGATAACTACATTCATAAAGACACAGGCAATATATAATCATACTTTTCAAAACACTAAAAGAAAAAGGGAGGAGAAACTACACAAAATAACTTCACTAACAATAAATCAAGCACAAACAAGGATCACCAATCAATGGTCATTAATATCCCTCAATGTCAATGGCCTCAACTTACCTATAAAAAGACACAGACTAGCAGAATGGATACGAAGACAGAACCCTTCCTTCTGCTGCATACAAGAAACACATCTCAACACCAAAGACAGACGTTATCTCAGAGTAAAGGGCTGGGAAAAGATCTTCCAATCAAACGGCCCCAAGAAACAAGCGGGTGTAGCAATCCTAATATCTAACAAATTAGGCTTCAAATTAAAATCAATCAAAAGAGATGAAGAAGGGCACTTCATATACATCAAAGGAAAAATACATCAAGACGAAGTCTCGATTTTAAATATCTACGCCCCAAATACAAAGGCACCTACATTCGTGAAAGAAACATTACTAAAGCTCAAAATGCACATAAAATCTCACACACTAATAGTAGGAGACTTCAACACTCCGCTCTCACCGCTAGATAGGACCTCCAGACAGAAACTTAACAAAGAAACAAAAGAATTAATAGAAGTTATGACCCAACTGGGTTTAACAGACATCTATAGAACATTCCACCCAAATACAAAGGGATATACCTTCTTCTCGGCACCACATGGAACCTTCTCTAAAATTGACCACATAATAGGAAACATAGCAAATCTCCACAGATACAAAAAAATTGGAATAACCCCCTGCATCTTATCAGACCACCATGCATTAACATTAGAATTCAACAATAACACAAATCGCAGAAACCCTACAAACTCATGGAGATTGAACAATGCACAATTGCACCATCCCTGGGTAAAGGAACAAATAAAAAAGAAATTAAAGACTTCCTCGATTTCAATGAGAATGAAGACACAACATACACAAACTTATGGGACACTTTGAAAGCAGTGCTGAGAGGAAAGTTTATAGCACTAAGTGCCCACATGAAAAAACTGGAGAACAGTCATACTAGAGAATTAATAGCACAGCTGAATGTTCTAGAACAAAAAGAAGCAAACTCCCCAGGAGGAGCAGACGCCAGGAAATAATCAAATTGAGGGCTGAAATCAATCAAGTAGAAACCAGGAAAACATTGAGAAGAATCAATGAAACAAAGAGTTGGTTCTTTGAGAAAATCAACAAAATAGACAAACCTCTGTCCAAACTAACCAAAAGACAGAGAGAGAACATGCTAATTAACAAAATCAGGGATGAGAAAGGGGACATAACAACGGACTCTGAGGAAATCAAGAGAATCATCAGGGCATACTTTGAAAATCTGTACTCCACAAAATTTGAAAATTTAAAGGAAATGGACAATTTCCTGGATAGATATCACTTGCCAAAACTAAATCAAGAACAGATAAATAATCTAAACAGACCTATAACCCCTAATGAAATAGAAGCAGTCATCAAAAGTCTCCCAAACAAAAAAAGCCCAGGCCCAGATGGCTTCAGTGCAGAATTCTACCAGAAATTCAAAGAAGAGCTCATTCCAATACTCGTCAAAGTATTCCACACTATAGAAGCAGGAGGCTCACTGCCAAACTCTTTCTACGAGGCTACAATTACCTTGATACCCAAGCCACACAAAGACACAACTAAGAAAGAGAACTATAGACCAATTTCCCTCATGAACATTGATGCAAAAATACTCAATAAAATACTTGCAAACCGGATTCAAGAACACATCAGAAAAATCATCCACCATGATCAAGTAGGCTTCATTCCAGGAATGCAGGGATGGTTCAACATTAGAAAATCTATCAATGTAATCCACCATATTAACAATCTGCGAAAGAAAAACCACATGATCATCTCACTAGATGCTGAAAAAGCCTTTGACAAAATCCAGCACCCCTTCATGATAAAGGTCCTAGAGAGATCAGGGATAACAGGAACGTACCTGAATATAATAAAAGCAATATACAGTAAACCAACAGCTAACATCAAACTAAATGGAGAGAAACTCAAAGCAATTCCTCTAAAATCAGGAGCAAGACAAGGCTGTCCACTCTCTCCATATCTCTTCAATATTGTACTTGAAGTTCTAGCTACAGCAATAAGACAACAAAAGGAGATAAAGGGGATACAAATAGGAAAAGAAGAAGTCAAACTTTCATTATTTGCAGATGATATGATAGTTTACATAAGTGACCCAAAAAACTCCGCAAGGTTACTCCTAGAGCTGATAAACACCTTCAGCAATGTGGCAGGATACAAGGTAAACTCAAAAAAATCAGTGGCCCTATTATATAGAGATGATGAAGTGACTGAGAAAGAAATCAGAGAAACATCACCTTTTACAATAGCCAAAAACAGCATCAAATATCTGGGGATAATGTTAACCAAGGAAGTGAAAGACCTGTATATCAAGAACTTTGTGTCTTTGAAGAAAGAAATCAAAGAAGATACCAGAAAATGGAAAGATCTCCCATACTCTTGGATTGGTAGGATCAACATAATAAAAATGGCAATCTTGCCAAAAGCAGTCTACAGATTCAATGCAATCCCTATCAAAATTCCATCACAATTCTTCAAGGACCTGGAAAGAACATTAATCAACTTTATATGGAAAAACAAAAGGCCCAGGATAGCCAAAACATCCCTATACAATAAAGGAACTTCAGGAGGCATCACCATACCTGACTTCAAGCTCTATTATAGAGCTATAGTCCTGAAAACAGCTTGGTATTGGCACAAAAATAGGCAGGTAGACCAATGGAACCGAATCGAAAGCCCTAATTTTAACCCACACACCTATGAACACCCGATTTTTGACAAAGAAGCTAAAACTGTACAGTGGAAAAAAGAAAGCATCTTCAACAAATGGTGCTGGCATAACTGGGTAATGGTATGCAGAAGACTGCAGATAGATCCATGTTTATCGCCTTGTACAAAACTTAAGTCCAAATGGATCAAAGATCTCAACATACATCCAGCCACACTGAAACTTTTAGAAGAGAAAGTGGGAGATACTCTTCAACGAGTTGGTACAGGAGACCACTTCCTAAACATAACACCAGTGGCACAGGCACTGAGATCAACAATTAACAAATGGGACCTTCTGAAACTAAAAAGCTTCTGTAAGGCAAAGGACACAATCAAAAAGACAAAAAGGCAGGCCACAGAATGGGAAAAGATATTCAATAACCCTACATCTGACAGAGGGCTAATCTCCAAAATTTACAAAGAACTCAAGAAACAAGTCTCCAAAACACCAAAGGATCCACTTGAAAGGTGGGGTACAGAGCTAAATAGAGAATTCTCAGTAGAGGAGGCTAAAATGGCCAAGAGACACTTAAGAAAGTGCTCAACATCCTTAGCCATCAGGGAAATGTAAATCAAAACAACTCTGAGATACCATCTTACTCCTGTCAGAATGGCTAGAATCAAAAACACCGAAGACAATTTATGCTGGAGAGGATGTGGAGAGAGAGGAACACTCCTCCACTGCTGGTGGGAATGCCGACTCATACAGCCTCTTTGGAAATCAGTATGGAGATTCCTCAGGAAAATGGGAATTAATCTACCACTAGACCCAGCAATTCCACTCTTAGGCATTTATCCAAATGAGGCAGATTCATACAACAAGGGCATCTGCTCCACTATGTTCATAGCAGCATTGTTTGTAATAGCCAGAACCTGGAAGCAACCTAGATGCCCCTCAACTGAAGAGTGGATAGAGAAAATGTGGTACATTTACACAATGGAGTATTACTCAGCAGAAAAAAAAATGGAATCTTGAAATTCGCAGGGAAATGGATAGCACTGGAAGAAACCATCCTGAGTGAGGTAACCCAGTCGCAAAAAGACAAACATGGTATGTACTCACTCATATATGGATTTTAAATATGGATCAGGATAGTGCCAGTCTGCACTTCCACAGATAGAGAGTCTGAGAAACAGGAAAGAACCTAAAAGATATGCATATATGCATAGTACCCAAGAGAAGAGGATGGAGACAAGATCCTCTGAATGGATGGGGAACACGGCGAGGGGGGGGGTAGTGGGACCTGGGAAGAATAGAGGGGGTAAAGAGGAAGGGAGTTGGTCATGGGGGAACAGGAAGTTGAGGGGGTGGGGGTAAAATAGGGGAAAGAGGGAATCATAGGATCGAAGACAGATCAGGCACCAGAGTGACCTCGAGTGATCTAAAGGTATAACATCAATTGGCAAGCTAAGCAATAGTGGAAGGACCACCTCGAATGCCCATTCCTGATAATGAACTTGATGTCTATAACCATCCGGGAGCCTTCATCCTGTGACTGATGGAAGCAGAGGCAAACACACAACTAAGCACTGAACTGAACCCAAGGAACCCAGTGACAGAGAGAGAGGAGTGATGAGCAAATTGGCAAAGAATGGGCTGGCAAAACCAGCAGAGACAGCTGATCTGAACAGGGGAGTGCTCTTGGACCCCAGACCGACAGTGGGGAGGCCAGAATGGGACTGATCTGGACCCCCCAAATGTGAGTGTCAGTGAGAAGGCCTGGGCAACCTATGGGGCCCTGAGCTGTGGATCAGTGTCTATCCCTGGTATACAATCTGTCTTCATGTGCCTATAGCACAAAGACAGATGCTCTCTCAGCCTGGACTCTTAGGGGAGTGCCTTGACCCTACCAAGAGTAAAATGATAGACTCTAGATATCCCCTATGTGGAAGGATTTGGCAATAGGGTGGGAGGGAGGGTGGAAGGGGAGTGCGGGAGAAGGGGAGGGAGAGGGAACTGGGATTGACATGTAAAACAAGCTATTTAAAATTAAAATAAAAAATGATTTAAAAAAAACACAGGCGAGGTGGGAACCTGTTGCATTAAGCTCCTCGCTCCTCCACCTCAGCTGTGCTGGACAGTCAACATTGATATTTTGACTGATATCATTGGTGGTACCCACATAGAACAAAGATAACAGAGTAGCTGAGCATGCAACTTTTCCTGGTCCTAAACTCATGTCATGACTTAAGCTAAGCACTATGTGTTCTACTTTCTAGTAGAAAGAATAGGACCTAATCCTACTTTTCAGGCACAACATTTTGCAAACAGCAACAGCATAATAATACAACAGACAGCAGCGTAGGGGCAATACACACGTTCAACATGATGAGTTATTGGTTGACTACATCATTTTATACATACACATGATACAGCCTTGCTCCACGAAAGTTGATCTAGTTCATGAGGCTAGCTCAATTCTCACATCGAGGAGGTACCTTGAACATGAACAGCACATAAGATGGAGAAGCATTTCCTGAGATTGACCCTCTGAACACTTGCCCTGCCTGGAACCTAACAGACACTTTTCATGGTCTTAGGACAAGAGCTAGAAATCCACATGCTCACTCACTCTGGGAAGCTGTGACAGAACACTCCCCAAAAGGATCTAATCTTGACTGCAGCTGAGGCATCTCTTGGTTTCCACTTAGAAAGACCTTAACCTACTCTATCAAGAGAACAATTTGCACAGGAAATGGGTAAAGGTCGCAGAGAGACTTGCTCACATTAGGAATCTCTTCTCTACAGCGGAGGTTCCTAAATAAATTTGCGATTTTAATCAGACCAGGTGATGCACATTCTCAAATCCCATCACTTGGAAGGCTGACGAAGACAAATCTCTGTCATTTCAAGAAACTCCTGCTCAGAACATAGAGAGGTCAGAAGGCAGGAAGGGAGAGAGTTCTACAGACACACTGATATCAAACGTATAGTTTTCTGGATGGAAGTTCTTGTTGAGTGAACCAGTACGTTCCTCTGAGGTAGTCTTTCCCTGGTGGTGGCTGAGAGCCACGCATGTGAGAGGAAGCCCACAAATGATACAGATCCCAGGTTCAGGGGAAACACTTGGCTCTGCCTCTTCCCCCAAGCGTGGGCTCCTACCTCATCCGGGAGACATCAAAATGATGTTGCATCTTTTCTGCCAAATCCTTATGCTGAAAGACCATCTCCTTCTGTTCCAGTAGGACCTCGAGTCTTTCTTCCAATCTCTTGAGTTCCTGTTCATTAGAAGATTGTATTCTTAAGGAGGGTGACCACTGTCATAGAGATGGACCCCAATAGCTCAATGAGCAGGATGGCCAGTAAAACACTAAGCAACCAGGGTAGTAAGAAACCCTGACTCAATGTAGAGACTGACATCAAAGCCTGTGGTCTCCTAGGCCAATGCACACATGAATGATGGACCACCATACCCACATGATTAAACTACACAAAGATATAATCTCTCCCACACTCTTTTTTCTGTCTCTATCTCTCTCTCTCTCTCTCTCTCTCTCTCTCTCTCTCACACACACACACACACACACACACACAGCACACACACACACAACACATACACACACATGTACACAGAAAACACATACAAGGAGAGAGGGGGGAGAGAGGGAAGAGATAGGGAAAAGGGGGTCTGGCAGAAAGAAACAACATGATAGATGAGCAGGTGATTTCAGACTAAACATTCCAACTCTTTCAGGGGAGCCTCACAACTCAGCCAGCATTCCATGGGGCCGAATACTACTGTGGATGATGTGGTATTTTCTCATATCCATTATGTTCAGCTCATTAGAGAATTTTTCCCCTGAAGGCCCACATCTCCCAACTTCCACCATCAGCTTGTCAAAATCTCCCAGCTGATCATCCAATCAACCCAGACTAAATTGTGATGGATGGGGAAAATGTCTGTCACCAAACAGAGATGACAATCTGCTACTGATGACAATTTGTCACTATGTAGTCACAGCTGGGCAAATGAAGACAACACATTTGGAAGCAGGAAAGAGAAGAAAGTCACATGTCACCCAAGCCATTGACTATGAAGCAAACATTTGTCACTTGCATGGGCTTCTCCTCCTTGCAAACTGATTCCCACTGTGATGTCACAATAGCTCTGCCAAGAAATGAATCTAAGGAACCAGAGCTCACTCACTCCAAGTTCTGTGCATAGAATCCTAACTATTATCATGACACATACCTGTGTGATATGTTATTGACCTATCCCTGTCACTGGACTGCAGCTTCAAGCAGAGCAGGAGGGATGATATGCCAATTATCCAGTTTCTTAAGAGGCTAACTCGGCAGAAGTCTTGTACAAGGACACTGAGCTGAATACTCTGATGTCATGAGTAGTTGACTGGATGGGAGCATGGAAGAGTAACTGGTGTGAGAGCACAGATGGGTGGGTGGACAGACAGCAGTCAAATGGCCAAATGGAGGAGACCTCCATCTGCACCACGTCCCTGCCCCTACCTGTTGCTGGATTTTCAGGTCACTGCTCTCTTCATCTTGGTCTTTAACATTCAAGTCCTCCAAGTGGTGCTTAAGCAGGACCCAATCATCGTGCAGTTTCCTTTTCTCCTGCCTCAGCATGTCCACCTTCTTGTGCAGCTGACTCTCTTCCATCAGGAGCCGGCTGTGCAGACCTCTGGAGACACTCTGCATGGTAAGGCCCTGCAACCTCCCTCTGCCACGCCTGCCTCCAGGAACCACCACCCCAAATGGCCTCATGCTTCCAGGAAGACACAGCCAAGAGTCTCATACAGCGGTGACAGCTGTACTCAGGAGGTCAAAATGAGGGAAAAGCTACTACCAGACATAATCAATCTACTACGGATAACCCCAACACCAAAAGGGATCCATGTCCCTTGAATAGAAAGTGGACTCCCCTACCTGTCCAGGATAAGAGGAAACATCAGCAAGTAGTGGGCAAATACCCTCCAAGTGAGGACAGGAGACCCAAGGTGAATATCTACAGGTTCCACAGCCACCAGACCTCTAAGGCCTTGGCCTGAACTCCAGAGGCCCAGGGCTTCCTGACATGCTCCTCACAGTGCAAATTGCATTTCTATCTAGAGGGTCCTGAGGCCCTAGGACAATGGTGGCAGGGGCTTTCAGTCTCTTTCACACTTAGCAAAACTGAGTCCAAGAGACACATATACAATAGCGGCTTACTAAGGAGCAGAAAGGCTAGAACCATAGCTGTGGGCTCTCCAGTCCAGAGAAAACAGAAGGCAGAGGTGGCCATTCCACAACTCATGGGGTCCAGGCCAAGATGGGCTCTTACCGATAGAAGACTGTCTCCTTGTTCAGCTCACTGAACTTTTCTGAGACCTCAGTTTTCTCCTTCTCAAAAACCTTTAGTTCCCACAGGACCTGTTTGTGCTCCAACTTCAGTTTCTCATAGAATGGATTTGGCTTGTGGTAGGGTCTAGAAACAGAAGGAAAGAATCCATGACCACAGGCCTCAAGTGTCATGTGAACTCAAGTTATATCCTGGTCTGCCACAGCCCAGTGGATGCCACATTCTGACTGCTAAGTACTGGAACCTCCTGGTGCTTTTAAAACTTGCTATCCTGTCCCTGAGACAGCAGTGGCTGGGTGTCCAGATGGAGGTTGCCCTGGATGCAGGAGCTTAAAAAGGGTTTGTGGATCTAGCAACTATGTTACCAGGAGTCTATGACTGAGGGCTTCACACACCAGATACTGCAATGAGGTTTCTCCTGATTAAGAACAGTGATTCTATGACACAGGTGACCATTGCCGATAAGTTATAGCACGTAATTCTCGGGTTGAGACCAAACACTAGGACAGCTATATAAACTTCCCAAGGGTTAGCTAGGTGCCACCGTGGTGAGAAGTTAGGACAAGAATGTTGATGCTTAAGTGGGGCTCCCACACCTCAGCAATATCATAGCCTGGAAACTGATACAGGAAAATCCTCAGGCCCCAACATTGTCCTGTTTCCCAGATTCTTTCAGTATACACAATCCTGCAAATGCATGTGTGAACACATGAGGGAGAGAGAGAAGGGGAAGGAGAGTGACAGGGAGATGGGGAGGGGGATGAGGAAGAGAGAGGGGGAGGGTGCAGAGGGAACAGAAAGAGCAAGGGAGAGGGGAGCAGACAGGGGGAGGGAGAGAGAGGAGAGAGAGAGAGAGTGAGTGAGAGAGAGAGAGGAGAGAGGATGTGAGGAGACACAGAGAGGAGGAGCAACCATAATCAGCTGCTAAAGTACTGTGTGGAGCACTATTGTATTGTCTAAGAGTGTAATGCACAAAACCAGAGAGAAACAGTGATGAGTCCCAGGACTCCAGGTACCACACTGAGAAGGACCAAGTGGAACCGTGCCTGCCAAGCTACTACCACCAAAACTCACAAATGCATGCTGGGAACTCACATGTTACCAACTCAATCCCTGAGTTATGTGACTGAGACCACAGGCTATGGTTTTCATTTGGAGAAGGCAGTGAAGTTGGAGTCCCCATCTCACTCCCTCCAAACCAAGAAATTAGGTCATGAGATGACTACAGAGTAACTATGGAGGTGCAGCCTTCTAGAACCTAAGTACTTTTTTTAAATCAAAAGTTTGGTTTTATTTAAACAGCATATTTTTATTAATTTTCAATATGACCCCCAGTTTGCCCTCTGTCCTACTCTCCAGGTCTCCCCACATAACCCTGCTTCCTATCTCCTCCTTCTGGTCCTCCATCATCTCCACTCAGAAGGGCGCCAGCCTCCAATGGTCTTGAGCAAAGGATTGAGCTCCTTGCCTTGCATCAAGGCTACGTAAGATAATCCAGCATGGGGAAGAGGTCCCAAAAGCCAGCTGAGCTCCAGGGACAGGCCTTGATCTCACCTCCAGGATCCTACATTGACACCAAGTTACACCACAGTCACACACATGGAGAGGGGCTAGGTGAGTTCCATGTAGGCTCCCTAACTGTTGTCCAGAATCCGTGAGCTCCCATGAACTAGTCAGCTGTCTCTGTGGAACACAAGACCTCAAAAGAAAGGAGGGGAGGGTGAGTGTGGACAGTTCTGTGCAGTATGAAACAACGGATACCTATTATCCACAGTTCCTTCACTGATGAAGAGCAGGCGATCTCGCAGCTCATTCCTTTGGTTGGTCATCAGCTGCAGCTCTGTGGTCATCCTCTCTATTTCCTTCTTCACTTGTTTCTTGGTGAGGAGCGCTGGCTGGGATGAAGGCTCCGTAGGAGCCTCTGTGGGTAGGTGAATACAAGTGAAATTGCCTGGTGACAATGCACAGAGAATGGATAGACCACCCTGAGGTTCAAACAGAAAGATCATGTCTGGACTCCAGGGACAATCCAATAATTTTAGGTCAGGTTTGGATGCCCCCTGTGTGGATCACAGCTCTCCCAACACTCTGTAGAGATGTGGTTATATAAGCAGTCAGGGGTTTTCTCTATCTCCCTACACATGCCTCATGTGAACACAGAGACCACCTTTCAGGATTAATTACAGTGACACCGCATGCAGCATGGTCCAGAGCCCTGAAGCCTGCCTGTCTTTTCAAAAGCCAGGAGACATGGCAAAGTGCACACGCACTGAGGAACTTTGAGGAGCCGAGAACTCCTGCCCGTTCATTCCAGGTCCATGGATGAGGACTGGAAAGTCACGCAGGGACACAACATGGTCAAAAGATTCACCAAGTCACCCCACACCACTGAGGGCCCAAACCATGGAAGCTGGCATGAAGGAGACCATTGCTGCCCTGGAGGCATACTCTGACAGTTGTCTGACTACTTTAGAGTACTGACTATCACCCTCAACTGATGATTCAGTAGCCTAAGGGGGCTGCTGTCAGGTAGATGTGAATAGAGGAGTTCTGCTGTCTGAGGACATGAAGTGTTAGCCAGAAGTACTCTTCTCTCCATGTGACTGGTGTCAGACAGCCACTGCACCCAAAGGAAACTGCTGAGCATGAAGTGTAGTGATGCCTGCCCAAATCTGGGGACACATCAGTGCCTACTGACTCCAGGTGGTATCCCGTTGTCCCCACATTACACTACCGAGTGTGCTAAAGGTAAACGCTAGGTGATCCCACACAACACCCTTGTCCTTGCCCGGTCCTGCCATAGGGAACAGACAAACTCATGTTCTGGAATCATGGACTATCCGGAACTATGATAAATCCGTTTACTTCCCAGAGGGCACAGCTTCTCTGTCCCATTACTGGAAGTCCCAGCTCAAGACCACCTCCCCCAGGAACCTCCCCATCCCCTGCCCAGGACTCACTGTGCCTAAGCCAGGACCATTTCCTTCTTCCTGCTTTATTATGAGACCTAACAGCAGCTTCTTTCTGCCTCTCTCTAGTCTCTGGATGTTCTCCACGTTCTCTCACAAACGGAGACCTCAGTCTTGACAACATCTCTAAGGATAATCCAGAGTCACTGAAGTAATGTCCTAAGTGCAGTTGGTGTTGCTACAACACTGGTGACATCACGGAATGCCAGGAGCTCTCCAAGATACAATAGAATGCCCAGGGAAGGGCCTGCTGATGTCATGGAGAACAGCCTTTGCCACCCTGCTGATTATCATTCCATGAATGAACCAAAATCCCAGGGTCCCTTTCCAGGACCCTGCCTTGGAATATAGGGTAAGCCATCCAGCAGCTCCTCCTTCCAAATGCAGAGTTTCCTTAGCTTGCATGGAAGCCCCATAGTGCTTCCCATGTGGAGAACTTAGTAGACACAGTCCACCATGGTGGTCACTGGGAGCAAACCCCATAGGACCCCTTGGTTATCACAAGGAGCAGATGCCCAAGAGCCCATACGTCTCCACCTCATTAAGCTGAACACTGCTTGGGAATGACAATATGATACTTACTTGATTGGAGATGAGGTAATCTGCATATTGACTCAGATCTGATAGCAGAATTTCAGCAACTCGCTTTTTCATGTTTTAAAACTAAACTATGGACACGGACTCAGTGTGGGGAACTGGTGCCCACTCCCTTCCATGTCCCTGTGAAAAGCCCTCTCTCAGCTTTGGTGAGTTGCACTGAAGGATGGTGGTAGTCAATTTGAAATCACCTCATAGAGGCCTCTACAGGTACTGGGAGGGGGACAAAGTCCCCAGTCTGTGTCCCCCAGGCAGCAAGGTCATGGCTGAGACCCCTGCAGACCACACATGGGGATGGGAACCACTGCAAGAACCAGAGCAGCACCCACCATTCCAAACCCAGCAGAACTCACAGACCAAGGCGCACTGGAGCCTGCCTGACAGAGGGTACTGTGTCTAGGATCACCCAGAGAGACTTTCCTCCCTTCCTATAGATGGAACAAAATGACCTGGAACAGCTGCCTGTCCATTCTTTGGCATCAGAGCTCAGAGAGGGGTCTAAGATAAACTTCCCAGAGACCAGGTATCCTCATTCCCAATCACAGTTGTCTCACCATTTACACACTCATTGCGTCACTCACTATTCTTTTCCCTGCCCCCGTTGTGCCAGGTTCAAGACCAGGAGCTGGAGACAAAGTGGTGACCAAACTTCTTCTCCACGGAAAACAGGGACCAGTGGAGAGGGGTTGTTAGGGGGGATTCCTGGAGGAGGCAGCAAGGACCAACAAGAGAAGAGGCACCCTGCCAGTGGGGACAGGCAGAAGTAGTGGCTAAGCAGGACAGTGCACTCCAGGAAAAGTTGGAAAATGAGAGGCGGCCTCTTGGTGGAGGCTGGAGTACAGACAGCCATGTGGGACAAAGACTGGGAGCACAGCCTAAGGATATTGTTCACAACTGCTGTTCCTTGTAGGGCTGGGGAGGATCATCAGAAGAAACAGGAATGCCCCCACCTTGACTGGTATAGGACCTAGACGTCTCACTTCACTGGAATGGTTTGGCACTGCCAGGAGGGAGAACCTGGCCTCCAGCAGAACCCAGCTACCAGATAAGGCCCTGATGGCACAGGGACATAGCTATTCTCCAGACATGAAATATATCAGCAGAAGCAGTTTATGACCATAAAACCCTGCCATTAAGGCACTCCAGGACTTGTGCTCTAAAGGAGCTAGTCTCTACTTGCTAATGAATTTAGCTCATCTAATGAAAAAACATCTCAAGATGTCTACAGAAGTAACTGGAATAGTTTGTGAGCTCAGTTTCATAGCGCTGAAACATTTACGAACATTTGTTTTTATCACTGGCATTTAATTTATCTATTTTGGGGCGGTCAGAATATAGGATTATGTGGAGTGTGTGGAAGTTGGAGGACAGCTTACAGGAGTTGGTTCCACTGTGTGATTCCTCGGGATACAATTCAAGTCACCAGACATGTATCATTATATCATGAACCATCTCACTGGCAGCCACAGTCACTTTCTGATAAAATTTGTTGTGGGCTTTTGAGTTTCAAGTACAGTTTGAAGCTGTGTTATTTACTCATGCCAGTAATCCCAGCACTTGGGAGACTAAGGCAGGAGGGTCTCTATGAGTTTCAAGCCAACCTTTTCAATGTCATCCCTAGCTACGTGCTAAATAGCAAGTTTGAGACCAGCCTGGGCTACATGAGAAGTCTAGAATAAAAAGAAAAGGAATAATGAAGAAAAGAAAATTAACGTTTTCCCCATTGCAGTCTCAGTGGGTATATCAATCACACTTTAAGGCTGACCCATTCTGGGGAGAAACTGGACAACACAAAATTATCTTTTTGGACGTTTTGTTTCAAATTGCTTTACTTTGCCTTTTTGGGATGGGTTCTTCTTTGCGTTTTGATTGTTTGATTTCCAGTTTTGAGTTTCTTACTTTTGTTTTTGGATTTTTTTGAAAGAGAAAGAAGAGCATAATGTTGGGTGGGGAGGGAGGTGGGGGAGATACAGGAGGATTGGAAGAGAGGACACTGTGATTAAAATATATCGTGTGAAGTGTTTTTCCATTAAAAGAATTAAAAAAGGAATACCCGATACAATCATCGAGTACTCAAAATGCCCTCTGTTATGTATATCAGAGAGGTATGGTAGTGAGCTTACCTGAATTAAAACTTCCCAATGGTAGTGGTTTTCCTTTTTGCAGTTTTATGCAGGTCCATATCTTGTATTACTACTTTTTTATCCTTGACTAGATTATTTTATTCTTTTTTTTGTTCCACTATATTTTTGAATTTAAATTAGGAACATGTTTGCTTCACATGTCAATCCCAGCTCCCTTGCCCACCCCTCCTCACAGCCTCCCCATTCCTTCACCCAATCCCCATACCATTGCCCAGGGAGGGTGAGGCCCTCTATGGGGGATCTCCAGAGTCTGTCATTTCATCCAGGGCAGGACCTAGGTCCTCCCCCAAGTGTCCAGGCTGAGAAAACATCCCTCCATGTGGAATGGGCTCCCAAAGTTCATTCATATGTCATGGAAAACACTGATCTACTACCCAAGGCCCCAGAGATTTCCAAGGCCGCCTCACTGACACAACATTCAGGGGGTCGAGATCAGTTCCTTGCTGGCGTCTCAGCCATCAGTCTTGGGGTCCAAGATCAGATCAGCTGTCTTTGTGAGTTTCACCAGCACAGTCTTGACCCTTTTGCTCATCACCCCTCCCTCTCTGTCATGGGGTTCCAGAAGTTCAGTTCAGTGTTTAGCTGTGGGTATCTGCCTCTGCTTCCATAAGTCATTAGATGAAGGTTCATGTTTGTCTTTTTGTGACTGGGTTACCTCACTCAGGATGGTTTCTTCTAGTGTCATCCATTTACCTGCAAATTTCAAGATTCCATTGTTTTTTTTTCCATTGAGTAGTACTCCACTGTGTAAACGTGCCACATTTTTTCTCTCCACTCTTCAGTTGAGGGGCATCTAGGTGGCTTCCAGGATCTAGCTGTTACAAATAATGCTGCTATGAACTTAGTGGAACAGACATCCTTGTTGTATGAATGTGCATCTTTTGGGTATATGCCTAAGAGAGGAATTGCTGGGTCTTGTGGTAGACTGAGTCCCATTTTCCTTAGGAATTTCCATACTGATTTCCAAAGTGGCTGTTCAAGTTGGCACTCCTACCAGCAGTGGAGGAGTGTTCCCCTTTCTCCACATCTTCTCCAGCATAAGCTGTCATTGGTGTTTTTTATTTTAGCCATTCTAACAGGAGTAAGATGATATCTCAGAGTTGGTTTGATTTGCATTTCCCTAATGGCTAAGGATGTTGAGCACTTTCTTAGGTGTAACTCAGCCATTTTAGACTCCTCTATTGAGAATTCTCTATTTAGTTCTGTACCCT